ATTGTAAATAGTGCTGCGATGAACATCGGCGTGCATATATCTGTTCTTGTTATGGCTCTCACTTCTTTAGGGTATATACCTAGTAATGGGATGGCTGGGTCAAATGGTATTTGTATTTCCAACTTTTGAAGGAATCGCCATACTGCTTTCCACAAGATCTTGGGACTCTTAATGGACTTGAATCAATGGCATGTGGTTTGGTAATATGAGAACTGTGCCTTTTTACTTGTTGACCTTGGCTTTGTCAGCCTTGGCAGGCAGCAGCTGCCTGAGCGAAGAAAACCTTCAGCTTCAGTGGGCCGGGAGCAAGAGGCAGAGCTGAAGCCCAAGATGGAGGGTCTTTCACCCAGCCTCTAGAGCTTGGCACTTTGAGCTCTGTCTTCTAGCCTCCAAAACTGGAAGAGAATAAACTCTTGCTTGTTAAAGCCACCCATTTTTGATATTTTCTGTTAGAGTGGCACTAGGTAACTAAAACAACCAGTGACCACCACACTGCTGAACTGAATGGTCTTTTTTTTTTAATTTTTAAATTGTGATTTGGGTGAAAATTTACAAAGCAAATTGGGTTTCTATTTAACAATCCATATACATTCTGTTGTGATATTTACTGCAATCCTCACATTTACTACATTCTTCCCACTTGCTCCCTGTGCCCAGTCCTTCTCTTTGTTCTTCCTTCCTCTTCTCTCCCACCTTCCTAGCTCTATTGCTGGGCAAATGCTCTCTCCTCTTGATTTCATATGCTTGATTTTTTTAATGATATTACTTTCACCTGATAGGCCTATCATTTGCCTCCAGTCAAGTTCACTTCTTAGCTTGACGGAGATCTAAAGGCCATAGTCTTGGAAGTCCCACCTGTCTTTATCAGGCTAGTGAGCCTGGTCTTTTTTTTTTTTTTTAATCATTTTGAGTTTTGTTCCACATTTTCCCCCATTCTACTTGGGACCTCTTTCTTTTTTATTTTATTTATTTATTTTGATTTTGATTTTGATTTGGGTGAAGATTTACAGAGTAAATTCACTTTTCATACAGCAGTTCACATATACTTTGTCTCA